GAACAGCGGTGGAAGCTGGAATAATGGAGGTGGAGGACAGAGACGAGGTCCAAAATGCTACAATTGTGGGCAACTTGGACATATTGCAAGAGAATGCAATAATCAATGACAACCTTTTCAAGGACAACAAGGCAACTACCAAGCTCAGCATACGAACGACGCATCAAGTAGCTCTAACGCCTTTTCGGAAGCACCAGCCACTGCTACGCTAAGTAAGGACGTGGAAGACTCACTCAAGAGCATGGCCATATTCGTACAGCAACAAATGGAGAAGGAAGAAGAGGAGAAGCAACAGAAGAAGGAAGCTGATGAAAGGAAAAAGAAAGCGGAGGAAGAAAGAGCCGCGACGGAAGAAGCGAATAGAATAGCCTTGGAGAGAAAGAAGGCGAAAGATCTTAAGGAGGCCAAAAGGATCTGGGAATTCGAGAAAATGCTCGCTAAACAGAAAGAGGCAATAGAGGAAGAATTTGAGCGGAGATTAGAGAGTAGACTGAAGGGGGTAATGATCATTGAGAAGATCGTGAAAGCGAAGACGAAGCAGAAAACACCATCACCTGCTAACTCGGACTCTGAAGAAGAAGAGGAAGCACTGCATGATGAGAGATTTGATAAACGAAAAAGACAGGCTGGCCAAACTTCTGGTGGACAAATCAGCCCTGCTGGAACACCTGCAAAAATTGGTCGACAAGAAGCTAATGAGGAACTGCCACCAAGAACCATGGAGGAATGCGACCTGGGTGAAATGCTTAGAGGAAGAGGACGCGTCAGAAAGGAAGGGAATGGGTTCCCTATCCATGATTCTGCCCTGTGGGAAGGTGCCCCAGTTGATGTGGATAGCAAGACAGAAGCGGCCTCTAAGAAGCAAGTACGGAAGTTTCTGACGAAGAAAAGCGTACCTACTATCCAAGAGATGTGTAGGGAAGCAGGCATGGCTTACCGAGGAAGACCCGAAGCTATGGACGAACTCGTTGAGCTCCGTACGATGTACTTCTACAGGAAGCCCCGCACACCACGCCAAGGAGGGATCGTGATCCGTGAACCATCAACCGCGATACGAGCTCCGAGAACACCCTCGACCCAGATTGACCATCTGAATCCGTCAGAAGATTGATATTTGGAATGATCTTAGGCACTACCTCCACGTACGCCACGAGCTTACCGGTAGAAACGATGCACAAACTAAACGAATTAGATTATTAATTGAGAGGATTCTTAGACTCTGCATTGTCATTCTTGCTTGTCAAGGGGAATTAAACTGCGGAAATAAATTCATTGATAGCTGGGTTCACCTTGTTACGAACGAAAGGGATAAATGGGAAAACCCGACCTCTTGTGTACATGTTCTCCTTGACCCCGGATGTCGTGCCTCGTAATTTGGACAGACATCCAGACCCCTTTTTGAAAGATGGAGTGAACATAAATATCGTTCCTCAAACCCCTCTTCTGCTAATAATTCATGACTTTATAGTTGGTTTCGTAACTGGGGGATTAAAAATTATATTGCCGTACCTATCGTCCCGACTCATGATCTTATCAGCGTGGAGAAAGTCCTGATTAAAAGATGGTCTCCGTCACTCAACTCTGMCTATCGAAAGAATACCTCCTGTAAGAAGAATCGAAAAGGCAGAAAAGAACGTAAACAAGCTAGATGCCATCAATTCCCTAACGTTTCGGTCAATAACTCAGCCACACTTCTGACGCACATAAAAGAAAAATTGGAACAAGGAGGGAATTTTACTATCCTCCAGTTAAAGGGTGGAACACTGACGAAACGTAATAAAGAATTAAAAAGTCATCTCTTTAAATTACTAAAAAAACCCTTGGGCTAAAAAGAAGCTATACCGACTGTCAAAGGATGAGCTCCTAGAACTGTTTTTGGCAACAAACCTTTTTAGCAAGGAAATCTGTCGCGGATTGCTGAGAGATGTGATATGTGGTGTCCTATGGAAGAAGTTTAAGTTCAACACCCGTAGAAAACACTGTGTGGCTATTTCTTTTGATGATGGATTACGTAAACGAGAAATTAGACGAGTAGTTTCTGATCACTTACTTGACTGCCTCCCRTTGTCCGAAGCTACATACATGTGTAAGAAACTCAGAACGATCTGGAGAAAAAACAGAACGGTTGCTGAGATTCTCCATACCCACCGATCTGCTGCTCAGACACCGGTGGGTATCTGCAGTTGTGCAGACCATAACCTCCCAACTATAGGAGGACACGTGCTATGTAGGGTGAGTACACTGGAAGGCATCGATTGTTTTTTCAAAAATGCTAGAAATATCTGTTTCCCCAATTTTACTGATAGGAAATTAAGAATCCTTCGTGAAATTAATGATGCATTGATTGATATGGGGATTGATACCCCGCTCCCGGCTACTAAATTATCT